GTTTGTCGACTGTGGGACAACACGGACGGTCCTCACTGTGAGAGGTGTAAGGACAACCACTATCAAAGGTCATCAGATGGAAGATGCACATCGTGTGATTGTGATCCTGTTGGTATGTTCGTTTCTGATGGTTGTATTATCTGAATTGTAGGTGTGCGTTGAGTGTAACATTGAAAATTTTCACCCCAAGAAACCCATTGTCAACCGAGGCGCAGCCGAGGTTGACAATGGTTTTCGAGGGGTGAAAATTTTCAATGTTACACTCAACTACATGCAGTATTTATTATATTATACTGAATGTTCTATACAAATACATATTACAGTGAATCGTGCGCGCATAAATTCCGCGCAGTCGCTATTTTTTGTAATACCACCCGTCGTCAAGCAATGTTGACTGTTTCTACGCAGGAGGGCGTGGCTTCATTATTAAGCGGGTAGTAGTGTTTTTTATCAAATGTTTCTCGACGAATCAGATTCAAGTAATTTACATGAAAGTATAATATATGCATTTACTTAAAAGGCACGGTTTTCGTTTGTGTAATTCAAAGTCGTTTTACATATACGAGTAGTCACTGGATTTTTACGAGGAGCGCTGACTTTTACAGTTGACGCTTACTTTTACACAAGGGCTATGTACGGAAGCTCCTTTACGATATAAATATTGAGCTCAACATTTCATTAAACGGAAATAACGGTTATTTCAATGCACTTATAAGTTGTCCTTGAAGAAAAACGACAACGACCCTGCCTCAGCTCCCGGTCTTCACAAGTTAGTGCCCCTAACACCATACCTATGACCACATTTTCTTATGCATTATCAATTCTGTACTTCCGTACATGACACAAGTTTAAATGTCCAAGTAAACGTCAACTGTAGAAGTCAGTGCTTCTCGTAAAAGTCCAGTTATCATAATAGGAAATTATTATGTTATTATTTGAAGTAGCTTAAATAATTACCATATTCAAAATGTTTTCTGATTGTCGGCATTTTATGGAAAAGCTACATGTAATTAAGATTTATTAGGCAATTCTACCAAAAATATGGAAACAATTTTAAACGACCGGTCTTAGAGAAGTGAATGCGGAAAACAATACTCTGTAAGGCTCACATGAACTTTTAACTTGTGTGAATCAAAAATGACATTTTGTTTAAATCAAATTGTCAGGTTCTGATACTCTTCAATGTGACGGAGCTGGGCAGTGTCAGTGTAAACCAAATTATACAGGAGAGAAATGTACAAGGTTTGTCAATTTTTTAAAATACGTGCACGTACAGTTTTTTTTTTATATATATATTTCTAATAGATCTATCTTAATTATGTTCCCCAAACGAAGTTGGGGAACATATTGTTAAGGTCTTCCGTCTCCAACGGAAGACCTTCTACTAATTCTGTTGTTTCTTTTCCACTATTATCATTATTATTTTTTTTCTTACCAATTTTGTGCAGACGATTTCTCGAGAACGCCTCGACAGTTTTTCATGAAACTTTCAGCAATGATAGGAAACTATATGAACTTTATGCGTTTTTTTTATTTTGCCGTCATCACTTCCGGTCGCGAGATATAGCCATTTTTCTGTTTTTAAAGTGTCATTTTGTCCGAGAGTGTTCTCAAAAACGGTTGGAGATTGGGTCCTGAAACTTTCAGAGATGATAGATTATGACTCGTAGATTTGAGAAGGCTATATGGTTGTTGTTGCCGTCGCGTCCGTCGTCCACCGGAAGTAGTTTAAAAATATGCAAAATTTTTTTTTTCTTTTTAAAATGTTTCTTATTGAGGCAAATAGAGTGTCTCGAGTAATATTATGTCCACCGGAAGTTATTTTTTCCAAACCGGAAGTAGTCAAAAAAAACGATCATTTTTCATCGAAATTATCAGGGATGATTCCTTCACACTCAGAAAGGAGTAATAGGTCATTTTAAGTACTTCCGGTCACGCCGGAAGTGAATTATAAAGACCGGAGGTTGTTTGAAATTGATAGATTTCACTCTTAAATGTGTTCTCACGTATTTTGAATAATTGATCTGAACACTTTTTTTCATTTAAAGTTGTTTTATACCCTTATCAATAATCGGACGGAAGACCTACTCGTTGCTTGCATCGAGATCTCATCTAGTTATTATTATTTTTTTTTCTTATCGATTTTGTGCAGACGATTTCTCGAGAACGCCTCGACAGTTTTTCATGAAACTTTCAGCAATGATAGGAAACTATTTGAACTTTATGCATTTTTTTTATTTTGCCGTCGTCACTTCCGGTCGCGAGATATGGCCATTTTTCTGTTTTTAAAGTGTCATTTTGTCCGAGAGTGTTCTCGAAAACGGTTGAAGATTGGGTCCTGAAACTTTCAGGGATGATAGAATATGACTCCTAGATTTGAGAAGGATATATGGTTTTTGTTGCCGTCGCGTCCGTCGTCAACCGGAAGTAGTTGAAAAATATGCAAAATTTTATTTTTTTCTTTTTTTAATGTTTCTTATGAAGGCAAATAGAGTGTCCCGAGTTATATTATGTCCACCGGAAGTTATTTTTTCCAAACCGGAAGTAGTCAAAAAAACGATCATTTTTCCTCGAAATTATCAGGGATAATTCCTTTACACTCAGAAAGGAGTTATAGGTCATTTTTAGTACTTCCGGTCACACCGGAAGTGAATTATAAAGACCGGAAGTTGTTTGAAATTGATAGATTTCACTCTTAAACGTGTTCTCACGTATTTTGAATAATTGATCTGAACACTTTTTTTCATTTAAAGTTGTTTTATAACCTTATCAAAAATCGAACGGAAGACCTACTCGTTGCTCGCAACGAGATCGCATCTAGTTATTATTATTTTTCTTCTTCTTCCTGGAACTTTTTTGTCCGGGAATGATCTTGTAAACTGTTCGTCCGATGTAGGTAAAACCTTTTTAAGGGTTAGTAGACATGTTATGTAGATTTGCGGAATCAAGGTCATTTTGCGTGCACGTGCTTGCAAGAGCGTGCACGTGCAACACGTGAAATGACCAATATAATAGATATAGCCACAACTGTTCTATTTTTAGATGAAATGCTTTGAAACTCATAATGTGAGGATATATTAGTAGTATAGACATGATGACATGATGAAAATAGCAAGATCTCACGCGCATGCACGTGCACTTCGCTCTGATTGGCTGCAACTAAAGTCTCAATATCTTTCTTGTTTTTTGACGAAATCCTTTGAAATTTTGAACATAGTCATGCATTAGGATATCCTACAACATGAAATAAAGCAATTATGATGAAAACACGTGCATGCACGTGCGCTGCAATCTGATTGGCTGAAACTTTAAACAGCTATAACTCCCTTGGTTTTCAAACAAACAGGATGGGATCTGGAACATAGATAGATATAATGACTTCTACAAGTAGGTATGGTCACCATGCACATGCATACACGTGCGTGTACATGTGCTGCAATCTGATTGGCTGAAACTTTAAACAGCTATAACTCCCTTAGTTTTCACCCAAACGGGGTGGAATTTAGAACATAGATAGATGTAATGGACTTCTACAAGAAGGTATGGTCACCATGCTCATGTATGGACGTGTGTATTAAAAATATAGATTGTGTAGACAAGATGATATGGTCATGACGCAAATGCATTCACATGTGCACGCGTGCAATGCTAAAGTTTAAATGATTTTTGTACACTTCTTTTTAAATGTTTTTAAAATCGCAGATGCATAGAGTTTGTCTTATTTAATGAAGCTTACAGGGAATATGGCACCAAAAAGGAGTTGGGGAGCGTTTGGGGAACATCTGTAACGGTCCCCGTTACAATTAGCACTAGTTACACATGAACTATAAGGTGATTGGTTGACCAAATTGATCCCCTTTGATGGGACTTAATCATACCCCTTTAAAAGCAAGTATTTTTATAAATATAGGCACTTTTTTCTGATTATGCATAGGACTTGCATCATGTAATTGATAATAATTTCCATTGCTCGATATTTCTCCCATTCTGTGGAATTTTGCAACAATGTATGATGAAAAACTTGTATGAAATTCCTGCTTTAATTTCAAACCAACCTGAATGATCATGGTTGTCATCTTTCTAGCATTGATACATGTAAGAGCATTTAGTTTAATTAAGGAAAATTATAAGGAAACAGTTGGATGACAAAAAATACTAATAAAATGATCAAGTGATTTTTCAATCAGTTTAAAAATTAAAAAAAGCTTCATTTCTTTACATTTCATATTTAACGTTGAAAGAAAATAGTTTAAATTCTTTTATAAAATGCATTTATACATGTAATACATACAATGTACTGCTCATTTGTAGATCGACAGCGAGAGGTTGAATTCTTCAAATGCCTTCCAATAATTTCAAACTTTCCTAGAGAAAGGAAACATAGACTATTATTTTATGTAAATCTATTTGTAAGAAATAAGATTAGGAATAAAAGTGAATTCAAATTAGCAGAGCTTTATGATTATTTACGAAAATGTCTTTTGAGGGCAAAATCTTTGTGATTGGTTTCCTTTTCACTTGAATCAAATATAATGAAATTTATGAGATAACGAACAGTATTCAAGATCAAAAGTCCATTGAAACAATACAAATCAGGAGCAGAGCAAACACAGCTAGACGTCTAGAACATCAGAGGTGGGATCAGGTGCCATGAGGAATGAGCCCTGCCGACCAGTCACTACCGCCGTGTGCTCCTTGTTATAATAAGTAAAATACATGTTACTGAGAAATAATATAATCCTTAAATAAGTTTTTATTTTATTTATAAGAATAAATTGGTATATTCTCTTGCCATTTTGCACAAAGAATTTTAAATGTCTTCGAGCCGAAAATGACTTATAATGGCCTTCTTGTACACAAATCAACTCATCGAAGCTAACTTTGGACCGTTTGTTTATTTATTTGAAGATTGTGGTTACCAATCGTGGTCAAAGGGTATACAAAAAGAGCAATATATGTTTGTCATATCGCCTAGTACCTCTCCAGTGCTTTGGCATTTATGTCCTTTCCACCACATGTTCTGGTTTCTACAAGATATACCACACAATATTGTTGTTTCTTGTTTGTTTGTTTTTTTTTTTTTGTCAAAAGCCAAATGCTGTGTGATTTTTTTTTAATTCTTTAATTAATGCAAAATTAAAGTAGACAACTCACAAATAAAAAAAATGAAGTCCTTTAAAAGTGCTAGCGAAATGTTCATGCATTCTGGGACATGGTTATGTTTAAGTAAATAATGTATGTTTTGACATTTGAGAGTAATCATTTTAATTAAAGTATAGCAGATCTCTTTACATCAAATTCATCAATGAATGATTCGGAAAGTTAAAACATCTATTTATCTTATTGATGGTTTTGTCAAGTGTGTTTTTCTGCAATACGGTGATGATGCAACTGTTACGGTTGTAATGCAGCGATTGCAAATCATGAATGTAACATTCAAGTCTTAGAGGCGGGTTCAACAAACGTTTTCCTATCGCAAATTTTAAATGGAAAAGAGTTTTAAAATATTTTGTTATATTGATACATGTATCAACATTCCCATCATTCATGTAAAATAAACATTAGGATGCATTTCCATATAATCTCAAATTTTCGTGATTTTATTCCTTCAAGTGTGTGTGATGTAAATATCAGGTTTCATGTTAATATACAAAATATGTTACTGTATCCATGCAATACATTTACATGCAAAATACATTACAGTATTTATATAATTAAAGAAGAAAGAAAGCCCTTGTGCATGCTCATATACATTAGTTCGAAATCAACTTGTTTTACATACCTTAGTTGTTTTTCTGAAGATGATGTCTCCTTTTATAAGCCTACTCTTACTCTACGCATCAAAAGCAGTGGCAGATGTGGCAAATGTTACAAAGTTATTTAACGGGCCAAGTCTCCTCTGCTTTTGATTTTGAAAGTATGAAGCGCGAAATAAAAAGTTTTGTTCAAACCACGGAAAAATCGATGAAAGAGTTGAAGAAGCAGGTGAAACTTGTTTTGACGAAAGGGGGTATGTTATACTTTTTCTGAAAATTTTGCAGTCTATGATTCCTATTAAAAAACATGAGTATTTTAAAACTTTTTTCTAGGTCTTAAAAACAAGCGCCCGGGCGTTTCCAAAAAACTTAATTGCTGATTCTTTCAGTTTTAAAAATCGTCTGTTTACATTTTTTCTTCTATTTCTCTCATACTCGATACGCCTAAATTATTTGGATTTAAAAAAGAATCCTAAAACTAATCTAAAGATAAATTATAAATATGTGTATGCAGTAGTACGGAAGCCCGTTGAGGCCAGTCCAGGGAAAGAAATATTTTTTATTGCGTTTAAACGCAATAATTATTGCGTTTAATCGCAAAACTTTGCGTTAAATCGCAATAATTATTGCGTTTAAAGCGCAATAATATTACGATTAAACGCAATAATTTTTGCGTTTAAACGCAATAATATTTTTGCCAAAACCAAATGTCTTTTTTTTAAAAGATATCATATCTAAATTTAGATGGACATATTTAAATTTTAAGTATATTAGATAATAACTTCGTATATTTTTAAAAGGATATATTTGATAATATGGGCTTCAAAAATAACATTATTTAATAATTATGTTATTTTCCAATATTTACAGGTACCATCAATCGCATACATGCACGGTAAAATTGATAGATAACCTTTTTTTCTTGAAACAAATTGTATAAATCTATCTTCAATAATGATATTCTCAGATTTTCCCAATGTTTTCGTGAAAGTACATGTACATGAATCATTGTACTTTATTTTCACTTCTCCTTGCTTTGTTTTGGAAAATATAACGTAATAATTAAAGGGGTATTAAATTTAAATAAAAGTGAACTTGAGAGAAAAAAATGTCTAAAATAAAAAGGGGATCCTCGAGTTATTAGGAGATTTTTTTTATTTCAATGTAATGTGTGCACTGGGTTCAACGTTTCGAAATATTTGACATTTCGAAATGTTTACTTGGTCAGAGATAATTACAGAATTTGAAACTAGATGCTGTCATGAGACAGTAATACCCGCACTAAGGTGTTTGCCTCTAAATGCACACTCCTCTAAAATTAGGCTTTACCAAAGAAAAAGTCAATATAATTTAATAATTTACATAATAGGGCCTCCATGTATTCATCAAATTGAGCATAATATTCTCAAGTGAACATGTGACCCGTCACCATGGGCCTCGATCTTATAGGTACATGTATTTCATATTCATAATTCATTACCAGTCTGAAATTAAACAACAGAATTCAATTAATGATGTAAATTAGGTTTGAAACAAGGGGGGGGGGGGTAAATTTTTGGCCCATAATTGGAACTTTTTAAATCTATTTTCTCATATAGATCAACAACAAATATTATTCAAATTAGTTTAAAGCGTTTTTGATGATTTTTTCCAAAATGTACAAATTTTTTATACTTGATTAGGCAGAAACACCTTGAAAGCTGCCATATACCATTTATACCCAATCAATTTAGTCAACCCCTACCCTTCTCCCATCAACACACACACGCGCAAACACACCCTATTTTCCTGTTTTTGGAAATAGGCCTAGATGGCAAAGTTAAGATAAAACATCTTTTGTAAATAATAATTTTAAATTTGTTCTTATACTGTAAATGTATCTGAAGACCTGCATCACATTGGGCTTGCGTCACGTACCTAACTTAAGTACTAGTTTTACCATTATCATTTTTAGATAGCACTGCACGTGCAGTACTAGGCCTAGTGTTGTGTACACATCATTGCATGTATGTCAGTTGGAATTATTTTGTGTTTAATTGGATTATATTTCATGAAGTTGGAGCTATGGCAGTCGGTAAGTACACGTTTTGGAATAGATTTGGGTAAAATAGTCTGAAATGCAACTGGTTAGGTTAAAGTTTAAAGGATCAAAGGTCATCCGATGCTGCAATAAGACGAATTTCACATTCTAAAGAGTTATCGCCCGTTATCGACGTTACATTCAGTTACAAAATACAGAATTTTTTTCTGAGAGGGAGGGGGGACTTCCAGACCAGAATTTTCTGAGAAGCAAATAAAAGGAGAAGTTATGGTGGTGTCTGTTTTCTAGGGTGGAGGGCATCCAAAGTCTTTTTTATATTATAGTCCTGCAAATTCGGGGGGGGGGGGGGGGGGGATCTCAAGATACACTTCCAGTCCCTGTAAACAGTAATGGCAAATGATCATGTGACTCCAAAATAGTAGGAAACTTTTTCCATTTGACAATACATAATTTTGCGCTTTTTGTGTTATTATGTTATGTAAATTTAATGGTATAAAGGTTTTGAACCCCCTGGAGGTCATCCCCACTCTCCTAATGATTCTAACTGGAAATGTTCACAATATGACTGCATTAAATGAAATAAAAGTGCATCAATGATAAGATTGCTTGACATTTCATTCATCAACCTATCCTCCTAGAATTAGGAATGAAAATCATTCAAAGAGATGGACCACATTAAAGTATTTGTATATAGGCTATTAACATATTTTTTTAAAAATGTAAAACAAGCAGTAGTTTGCATACATGTCATGAATATAAACAGGGGTCTGGGATGGGGTGAAGGGAAGGATCGAGTTCCTGTCTCTTTACGTCTTAATGGTTGAAAACTCCTAAAATGAATGTTGACCTCAAATCCGACTTGTCCTCATTATTTTTCAAGTGGGGGTGTCATTTGAGTGAAAAATTCCTGAGAGGGATGTTTAACAACAAACAAACAATTAAATGACATAAAAACACAATATTGATTTGCGTTAAGAAATATGCAGGGGATTTTTTCCATCATAAATCTTCTTCTCAAGAACAGCAAGGGCATTATTGTCCCCCGTTTTGGGGGAAAGGGAGGGAAATTATACACTTATTTAATGACTACGAGGTAAACAGTCAAACTGTTGTCCCGAGGTAGTGGGGGAGACCTGGAAAACTGTTGCCCAAGGCCGAAGGCCAAGGGCAACAGTTTCCCAGGTCTCCCCCACGTACTACTGAGGGACAACAGTTTGACTGTTTCATCGAGTAGTCATTGAATAAGTGTTTTATTACCTAACCTACTATATAATTAATTAAATTGGAATAAAAACACACAAAAAATCAATAAAAAGTTTTCACAATTGTTTATTCACATACTTGTCTATTAATTAGCTGAATACATAATATAAAGATCTTAAGCTGAATGGACTAAAATTGAAAATATTTTTATTTCCAAAGTAATACTAATAATAAATTTATTGTTTGTGTGTTTTGTTTAAATTTAATTCATTGAATAATCGGTAAATAAAAATTTTATTTCACCCTTACCGATTAAATATTGCCTTAAAAAAAATAGGAAAAAAATTTACTGAAAAAAAAATTACTCCCATAGCAAACATCCTGTCTCCTGCAAGGTGTCCGCGACCTTATCATTGCTACATCCTCTTGTGGCAATGTAGCCAAAGAA